ACTGTAAATGAAATAGGATCTTTAAAAATCTGTTAGAATTACAGAGAATTCGATTAATTGGGATAGAGAGTCACTTTAAAGTGGAATAATTTGAGTTAGAGGAAAATTCGACTTGGAGAGGTATTAGACTGAATTCTTCTCATCGACATTGTTATGGTATTCAAATCAGGTAAGTCCATGGACTAATACGTCGTTACCATATTAAGAAGAAACTAAATACAGAAGATAGCCATCGGTTTCAGCGTGTGACACACCATCATCGTAGTGTCTGTCTGGGCTACCTGTTGAACCGTAACCATGTTTCTGGCACCGTTATGTGAATTCGTTTGTACCAATGGATCGGTAACTGAAATAAGAACTTATTTGCCTATTATTACAATGCAATGTCGGCTCCATCTTTTTATTCCTGCCGCGATTGCGGCTCTCTTTTTTTTTTCCTTCCTTTCTTTTGCACTCGTATAATTAGTTTCTTTCGTTACTCCTGGTCACCTTTATTGTACTGTACACTTCCGGGTAAAAACCATAAAAAGAATTGGATACGACAGGTGTCCTGTACCAGGTTTATGACACAAGTTACCTGGTTTACTAGAAGACGACGTTAAAGCCGCTAATTGCAAGATTTACTAATACTTATTAACGCATTACGCCAGATGGGCCGGCAAAATTATCCAGCAGGTAAATTGGACAGAAAGGATACACAAGCATTTAGAATGGTACATCGAAGTTTATTCGCTTACCTGTAATAGTTTCCTAGAATCCTAAATCGTAGAACGGATTTGGGAAAGAATCGTGATGGTAAGTACTAAGAATGGAGGTAACAAAATATATACCTAAAATCGTAATTTAGGCTTGGGTTAGCAACAGGGTTCTCACCACAACAACCTTTTCTAAAAGGTTGGTACTTTCCTCTAATTCAAGTTATCTTGAAGGCAACAACAACCCCGTTTAGAAACTTATATTAATTCCTTATAAGTCAACAAGCGGATTTTGTTGTTTCTAAAATCATTGAATATAAAGGTACTCCTCTATAGTAATAAAAAATTATCACCAAAGATTGAAGAAGAATATTTCAACAATTTGCGAAAGCCCGATGAACATTTTAGCTAACCGTCTATAGACAACTTAAAGATCAAATAAAAATTGTGGCGTTCCAACTCAGTAATCAGAAAAAATCCTCCAGGAAAAATAGTCTCTTGGAAAAAGGCCCCCACAAACAATCTCCCTCTCGGAAAAAATTAAAACTCTTGATTCATTATAAGGTAAATGGTAAATTTTATTAGAAATGTAAGGTGATTCTGTTGTTAGGAAAAATATAACAAATCAAATATGTAATTAACTAGAACTCATGCTGTCTATTCAACGTTATCATCATTATGAAAGACAAAGGGACATTTTTTCCGAGAGGATTTTTCAGGGTTTTTTTTTCTCGGGGGATTTTTGTTCTAGATCCGTTTCAAGTCTTCATTCCCGTTTTCATTTTAATTCTTCGTTTGAATGGAAATTTGACTGTAATTTGTAATGAAGCCATTAGAGCAAGAATCTTTGCCTGATACATTTTTTCAAAGCCAATTCAATATACCAAAAACCCACTTCTGTTCCGGACAGATGTAAATCGTCCAGTTGTCCTTACTTTATCACTGAATTTTTTTTTACATTTTAACAAGAGACTAAAAAAATCTGGCCACATTGCAGGATTCGATCTCGGGCTTTTCGCCGTGCTAGACCTACGCTCTAACTATTGGACTATTTACCAATCAGAGAAAACAAATTTCCAAGAAATGACAGCAATTTCTGAACCTCATCAAAATTGTTGAAACCTTTTTGAGAACGCGTTTACAAACAAACAAACAAAAGAATCGTGAGTTCAAATAGCGGACCAATTCTGATGAAATCTTTTCTCGGCATCAGAACGTCAATACGACATAATAATAACGACACTTTAAAATGAAATCCAAATTATATCACAAGAAGAAAAAGACAGTTGTGCGTGCAACTGGCCAGTAGGATTACCGTAATCTGTAATAACATTTTCAGTGTGAAGTGTAAAAAGTCATAGCATAGCATAGCATACACAACAACTGCGAATAGGTCTTGGAAAACGTTAGGCAAACAGATAGGAAAAAGTTAATTGACTTTGTGCTCTCTCTAATGGCAGAAACGTCTTTATGCAGTCGACTTGAACCACTTCTGCAAAGATTGTTCTTCAATGACAGGTTTGTTCTTACTTATAAATACTTTACTTCGATGTATGTATGTATGTAAGTGAGTAAAGAAGTACGAAAAGTAAGGTCAACAGACCAGAAGAAGATGAGAACTAATATAGATTCTTAAAAGAGAAGCAATCTACTACTATATTATTGTATAGGCATACAAAACAAGTTTTTTCTGGACTTACATCGAATCTTTGAACAAATGTTTTTTTTGGTGCAAGAATAAAAGAGAATATGGAATCAATCATACTACTAGTGCCATTTTTAGAAAAAACCAGTACTAGATTTTGTTAGACACAAAACTTACGTATTAAAAATTAATGGATAGATAATTAAAAGACCAAAAACTGTTCAGCAATGAATTGATAACCGATGCAACTGGAGAACTATCCACAATGATTCAATCAATCTACAGAAGTGTTTGTTGTAAATTAATTTATTTAAGAAACAGATTAAGGGTTTTTAGAGTTCAGTTTTATAGAAAAGCATGCTCGGATGTCAAAGTTGAAACAATAAGACCCTGACTGACAATTTGAGATTATTCACCAACTTTCACCTGGGGTGTTTTCGGATTGGATGGAATTGGTTACTCTCATCCTCGGTTATACCATTTCAATTTATTAGTTCTTGTTTTGGTTAAAGTTTTACTCTTTGTAGCAGTTACTATTATTATAGAACTAAACAGCATAAAAAGAACTAAACAAGTAACCAACCAACCCATTGTTCTGGACGTACAACAGTATAACATCTACTATATTTTTTTTCTTAGATTGGAACTGTGAACAATTTTCTCATTTTGTATTTTACTAGATACTTGTTCTGCTTCTATTTTCAAAAACCGAATGTATTTCTTTGTGTTTAGGTGACAACATATGTACAGAATACAGAATGTTCCAAGATATAGTTTCAGAAGCAGATGGTATACAAAAATTCTTATGGCTTCTAGTAAAAGAAAAAGTAAATATTTACGCCACTACAAGAAAATTTCACGTCAGGGTCAATTTTCTGACTGTTTTTGGTTCCACCTGATGTTTAGGGTTACCCTGCATACAGATGAAACATTTTCCTTCATAAAATAGTTAAGTCATTATTAAATCTGTATAAATATGGTAGTATACCTTGGGAGTACATTCTATTTTCTCTAGACCTAGAGCATAGCGAGGTACTCATATTGTCTAGTTTCTTTTTCTTTTGTAGCATAAGAAATGAATTATAGCTCAACACTTATACTACCTACCTTTTCAGTAATAAAGGCATTGTAAATACGTAACAATTTTTGCTTATGTTTTTTATGAACTTAAATACATAACATTTTTAAGCGAGCTAAGCCTGTATCCCTGGTGAAATCAACTAATTAAAATATCAAAAATTCAACTCCCAACAAGTAATTCCACCTTGTAAACTTCTTTGTAGAAGGTGCTACAGTAGCAGTTTGAATGCCTTGGTGGCTATGCAAATGTTTTGCTTTTAGATCTTTGAATTAGATAATTCTTAAGATCAGCAATGAGGAGGAACAAAAGCGACCAGAAGAAAAAGGGTGTTATAGTTCGTAGAACACCTTAACAGGTATGAGGGGGTTGTTAAATACATCTTAGAAGCAGAAACAGGAGTTAAGAGCGTTAAGAAATAGATTAGATACTGTTCGCAAATAGAAATCTAGGCTGCTCTAGTTGATAATGATGACGATGATGATGATGATGATGAATGACATTTCAACAAAAGGAATAATTAATTCTGTACTGGATTTAGATAAAAACTTTTTCGAAATTTCTATAATTATTAAGGACTTTTTCAATTCATAGAAATATTGCTTTTAAGTATGTACTTCACCATTGACTACGATTCTCCAATCTTCAATTCTCCAGTTGTTTTTAAATCTACAGGGAAGTGAAGATCAATGTCCAATGAGAAAGAACAAAAACATATTATGCTATTGCATTTTTTAATTATTAATTTTAAGATTAGACCTCATCTTCATCATAAGATCGTCAGTCCTAAGACTGTTTGAACACACACCTCCACTCTTTCGCATCTTGAGCTAATCTTCGCATTTCCCTAAAACTAGAACAACCTACATCCTTAACTATTTACGAATAGTAATCTAATCTAGGTCTACCTCCACTCCTCTTTAACCCCTATTTCTGCCTCTAATATGTCTCTCACAAGCCCTTCATGCCTGAGAAGGTGTCCTATAAACCTTTATCGCCTATCTTTTATTGACTTCCATAGAGTCCTCTGTTCTCCTATTCTTTCTAATACCTAAAATAGACCTAACAAATAAATAAGTGGACAGAGAGGAACGCCAAAAATTATTACAAGCTTCTTTGCCATGTACATTTTAACCACCCATAGATGAAATCCTTAAGTTTTCGTTTGACTTTTGCATAGTTAGAATTGCAAAAATAAGCTCACCCATTATGGTCATTTAATTTTTGAAGGAATTACTGTAGACTGAGCGAAACAGTCATTCATATACCAAGATATTTCCTTGGTAGATGGTTTCACTCATACATACTCATACTTCTCGTTCTTCTCCAAGAGTGTTCTAGCAATTAAAATTGCAAGTACAATTTTCGGCTTTATCAGCAATTGGTCGACGCAAGGAACCACTGTTGTTGATTTTTTTTTGTAATTCACTAATTATAAATCTACTTCCATACATGTAGACGGTTGCTCGTAATGATGAAATGGCACATGGTCGAGTCAAGTCGGGGGTCTTCCAGCAAGGTATTTGCTGATGTCGAATAGACATGGTATTTACAATTTACTTCTTCAGCGACCACAGTTGCGGTCGGTTCATAGCCATTGTCCATCCATCCTCTAACCCATCGTCCGTCGGTAGTCTGTGCTAAGCTAGTGCGTTTCTTTCGTCCATCAGAGAATGGTGTCCTGTATAGAGATCTCCTCCACCGTTTTGTAGCGGTCAAGGCCGAGCATTAGTGACCGCAGTGCCGAGGGGCTGTCGCAGTTCTTGAAGTTTTACTTTGCACAACTTCGTATTATTGTAATAAGTAACTAGTCGCTGTGAAATCGACGTTTTTAACCGCGTTTTAGCAACCATCCGCAAACACTTACTAAACTCTAACTTTTGTGAAGTACTCAGTGGGTGATTCCCAGTTTTCAACTGCTCCAAGACCCGGGGGCAGTAAAATTATCTTTTGCTTCTTTACAGGTATTTATCCATTTTATGTTTTATTTATACAAGAGACCTTATTATACATTATACTTGATTTGATTCAAAAATTATATTAAAATTCCTTCCAGTGAGGAAAATGTGCTTATTATTTCTAAAATGTTCGTACTTTATTTATTGTTACGTGTCTGCAATTTTTTTGTGTGAAAAACTTTTATAGTTATTATTTCAATAGTTTTGAAAAGAATTCTTCATTTTAAATGCTAATTGAGATGAATCAAAAAAGTTTTTGCAATGCCTACTTTGAAAAGAAGTGAATGGATTGAATCATTTCAAAAATGTCTCGAAAAAAATACGTAATTCCGATGATAAGAAGAAATAAGAGTTATTTCAAGACATTGGAATGAATAGTTTTACTTAACAGGGTAAAGAAGTCAAACTTTTCCACTTTTTTCTATCAATCTTGCAATGGGTTGCGATCAAAACCGTATTGTTAAAATCTTCATAAAACTTCCCTAAAAAGTAAATATAAAAATAAAATGATTCAATCAATCTACAGAAGTGTTTGTTGTAAATTAATTTATTTAAGAAACAGATTAAGGGTTTTTAGAGTTCAGTTTTATAGAAAAGCATGCTCGGATGTCAAAGTTGAAACAATAAGACCCTGACTGACAATTTGAGATTATTCACCAACTTTCACCTGGGGTGTTTTCGGATTGGATGGAATTGGTTACTCTCATCCTCGGTTATACCATTTCAATTTATTAGTTCTTGTTTTGGTTAAAGTTTTACTCTTTGTAGCAGTTACTATTATTATAGAACTAAACAGCATAAAAAGAACTAAACAAGTAACCAACCAACCCATTGTTCTGGACGTACAACAGTATAACATCTACTATATTTTTTTTCTTAGATTGGAACTGTGAACAATTTTCTCATTTTGTATTTTACTAGATACTTGTTCTGCTTCTATTTTCAAAAACCGAATGTATTTCTTTGTGTTTAGGTGACAACATATGTACAGAATACAGAATGTTCCAAGATATAGTTTCAGAAGCAGATGGTATACAAAAATTCTTATGGCTTCTAGTAAAAGAAAAAGTAAATATTTACGCCACTACAAGAAAATTTCACGTCAGGGTCAATTTTCTGACTGTTTTTGGTTCCACCTGATGTTTAGGGTTACCCTGCATACAGATGAAACATTTTCCTTCATAAAATAGTTAAGTCATTATTAAATCTGTATAAATATGGTAGTATACCTTGGGAGTACATTCTATTTTCTCTAGACCTAGAGCATAGCGAGGTACTCATATTGTCTAGTTTCTTTTTCTTTTGTAGCATAAGAAATGAATTATAGCTCAACACTTATACTACCTACCTTTTCAGTAATAAAGGCATTGTAAATACGTAACAATTTTTGCTTATGTTTTTTATGAACTTAAATACATAACATTTTTAAGCGAGCTAAGCCTGTATCCCTGGTGAAATCAACTAATTAAAATATCAAAAATTCAACTCCCAACAAGTAATTCCACCTTGTAAACTTCTTTGTAGAAGGTGCTACAGTAGCAGTTTGAATGCCTTGGTGGCTATGCAAATGTTTTGCTTTTAGATCTTTGAATTAGATAATTCTTAAGATCAGCAATGAGGAGGAACAAAAGCGACCAGAAGAAAAAGGGTGTTATAGTTCGTAGAACACCTTAACAGGTATGAGGGGGTTGTTAAATACATCTTAGAAGCAGAAACAGGAGTTAAGAGCGTTAAGAAATAGATTAGATACTGTTCGCAAATAGAAATCTAGGCTGCTCTAGTTGATAATGATGACGATGATGATGATGATGATGAATGACATTTCAACAAAAGGAATAATTAATTCTGTACTGGATTTAGATAAAAACTTTTTCGAAATTTCTATAATTATTAAGGACTTTTTCAATTCATAGAAATATTGCTTTTAAGTATGTACTTCACCATTGACTACGATTCTCCAATCTTCAATTCTCCAGTTGTTTTTAAATCTACAGGGAAGTGAAGATCAATGTCCAATGAGAAAGAACAAAAACATATTATGCTATTGCATTTTTTAATTATTAATTTTAAGATTAGACCTCATCTTCATCATAAGATCGTCAGTCCTAAGACTGTTTGAACACACACCTCCACTCTTTCGCATCTTGAGCTAATCTTCGCATTTCCCTAAAACTAGAACAACCTACATCCTTAACTATTTACGAATAGTAATCTAATCTAGGTCTACCTCCACTCCTCTTTAACCCCTATTTCTGCCTCTAATATGTCTCTCACAAGCCCTTCATGCCTGAGAAGGTGTCCTATAAACCTTTATCGCCTATCTTTTATTGACTTCCATAGAGTCCTCTGTTCTCCTATTCTTTCTAATACCTAAAATAGACCTAACAAATAAATAAGTGGACAGAGAGGAACGCCAAAAATTATTACAAGCTTCTTTGCCATGTACATTTTAACCACCCATAGATGAAATCCTTAAGTTTTCGTTTGACTTTTGCATAGTTAGAATTGCAAAAATAAGCTCACCCATTATGGTCATTTAATTTTTGAAGGAATTACTGTAGACTGAGCGAAACAGTCATTCATATACCAAGATATTTCCTTGGTAGATGGTTTCACTCATACACACTCATACTTCTCGTTCTTCTCCAAGAGTGTTCTAGCAATTAAAATTGCAAGTACAATTTTCGGCTTTATCAGCAATTGGTCGACGCAAGGAACCACTGTTGTTGATTTTTTTTTGTAATTCACTAATTATAAATCTACTTCCATACATGTAGACGGTTGCTCGTAATGATGAAATGGCACATGGTCGAGTCAAGTCGGGGGTCTTCCAGCAAGGTATTTGCTGATGTCGAATCGACATGGTATTTACAATTTACTTCTTCAGCGACCACAGTTGCGGTCGGTTCATAGCCATTGTCCATCCATCCTCTAACCCATCGTCCGTCGGTAGTCTGTGCTAAGCTAGTGCGTTTCTTTCGTCCATCAGAGAATGGTGTCCTGTATAGAGATCTCCTCCACCGTTTTGTAGCGGTCAAGGCCGAGCATTAGTGACCGCAGTGCCGAGGGGCTGTCGCAGTTCTTGAAGTTTTACTTTGCACAACTTCGTATTATTGTAATAAGTAACTAGTCGCTGTGAAATCGACGTTTTTAACCGCGTTTCAGCAACCATCCGCAAACACTAACTTTTGTGAAGTACTCAGTGGGTGATTCCCAGTTTTCAACTGCTCCAAGACCCGGGGGCAGTAAAATTATCTTTTGCTTCTTTACAGGTATTTATCCATTTTATGTTTTATTTATACAAGAGACCTTATTATACATTATACTTGATTTGATTCAAAAATTATATTAAAATTCCTTCCAGTGAGGAAAATGTGCTTATTATTTCTAAAATGTTCGTACTTTATTTATTGTTACGTGTCTGCAATTTTTTTGTGTGAAAAACTTTTATAGTTATTATTTCAATAGTTTTGAAAAGAATTCTTCATTTTAAATGCTAATTGAGATGAATCAAAAAAGTTTTTGCAATGCCTACTTTGAAAAGAAGTGAATGGATTGAATCATTTCAAAAATGTCTCGAAAAAAATACGTAATTCCGATGATAAGAAGAAATAAGAGTTATTTCAAGACATTGGAATGAATAGTTTTACTTAACAGGGTAAAGAAGTCAAACTTTTCCACTTTTTTCTATCAATCTTGCAATGGGTTGCGATCAAAACCGTATTGTTAAAATCTTCATAAAACTTCCCTAAAAAGTAAATATAAAAATAAAAAGAAATCTTATTCTAAAAAAGATTAAAAACAAAAAACCTTTATAAGTATTAGCCGATTGTTTTGTTTACATTTCTTTTGTTTACAGCAATCATCATTGTTGTGATTAATTGTTTATAAATATTTAATAATTTATTTTGTCAGCGTTTTTTTTATTGAAATACGTGATGGATACAGATTGCAATTCTTCTTCTCTCTTCTACATATAAGCGTGTTTGTGTGGCTTCATTTTCACGTTTGGTTCCGGTACATTCTGTTAATTAAAATTCATTAGATATTCATGATTGGTCGGTAAACACATGTCATTCTAATTGATCAGAATGTCTAATAGAATAGACGTTTGTTTAAATGTAGTCCATCGTGTTTTGAGAGCATGCACGTAATCGACGGTCTAATTTGTAATTATTGTAAACTGATTAGTTGAATAAGTAATTACTGTTGGTAACATTTTTTGACGAGATTCTCTGATTTAATTTGACACGAGCCGTCATTTTTTTGGATACATTTCAAAATTGGAATGGCAACTTTCATTATCTGTCGCAATTAATTAATTAATTTGTGACACTATTTTGAAATCCACAAAATGTAGGTAATACACAACAACTTGTTATGCTTATCGAAATACATAACATTATTATAATTATTTTCTTTTGTTATGAATATTGAAACAGAAGCAATTATTTTTTGATATTGATAACGAGATACATAATTTAATTTCGCAAAACACTAGAAAAGTGAAACTCCCTAAACCGTACTTCCAAAAGGAATCCCTATATTTTGCATTTTGGGTCTTTAGTACATTTCCCTAAGCTTGATGCAAGGTCAAAAGTTGAGTTGAGAAAATTTGACCGCATTCAGGAACCATTTAAAATTAGTAAAATGATACTGACTGCGGTCACATAAAGCTTAAACTTTGGGTAGTTTGGGAATTAGTGAGTGGTGGTTCGGGTGAGAAGGACGAAAGGAAGGCAGAGGAGAGTGAAACAACATTATATACCGAATATTACTGCCCCAGGCGTTTGCCTAAGCTATCCAAGGAAACCACAGAAAAACTTGGACGAAGGCGTACGGCCCCGGAATTGAACCCGCGCCCTTTCGATTACTAAGCAATGGTCTAAACCTCTACTCCATGCCACCCTGTCACACGAAATTAGTTGCTCTTGACGTTATATATGCTTGTACCGCCTTAGGGTTAAACTCTGCTCAAGTGTAGAATCAATCAATCAATACAAGACGAGAACCGGCGCCCCAATAGTCGACATTTCCTTCTGAGCAAGCGGGGGAAGTACTCAAATTTCGTACAGTTATCAGAGCAAATGGACATGGTTTTTCCAAGAAATTTACAACAAGCATCATTTAATAAATAATTAAAGACGCTATCGGCGGAAAATATCCCATTAATTGTCCGATTCGTTAATCTTTAATAAGTTCCTTTTCAATTAATGCTATTGACTTATAAAACTAAGTCCACGACGCAGTTATCAACGTGATAAATATCACACCAATTAGGTACTAATTATAAACAAAATTATTATAATGCATCTCAATCGTGACACTCCAAAAATTAAGAATTTAAATTTTGAATTCCTAATACAAATCCTTTTTGTAGTTTTGAGAGTACATATAGTAGAATAACCCTTTTAAGTGCACATATAAATTGCAGTTTCGCAAAAGTTTTTTTCACGAAAGTGATAACTGTTTCGCCAAACAACAGTTTCTTCATCACTTACTCTAGCGTTTCCCTATGCTCTTCGCTTTCGTAAATAAATTGAGTGAATTTTTAAATAAATAAAAATAAAAGGCCTAATTGAATGTGCCAAGGTTCTGAAATAAAAATTTTGTTTGTCCTAAAGACACGAAATATACTATTTTTTCACGAACTGCTAACTGATCTTTTTAGATGATAAATTGTAAAATCAAAGTAGGTCATGCACACACGTATACACACACAAACATATTTACAAACAGACATATATACAGAGGAAAATAGATAAGATGGATTTATTTTAGGTGCTTATAATGCTGCTAATCTTAAGATCGGTTAATGTTGAATCTACTTTTGCTTGATGGAAATTTATTTTGTAAAATTAAAATCAAAACATTTGAAATTTGCACTTTTATTATCAATATGAATTAGTTCAATTCAATTTCAACCAGTATCACATGTGGACAAAGTGAAAAACTGAATAGGGGCCGCCCGTGTAGCAATTTTATAATAAATACTAAAAATTTCGAAGTTCACGTATTAATATACGTATAAGATTAAAATGGATTTACTTTTAAATATTATTTCGCTGTGAAGTTGAATTTACGTTTGACCTGAGAGTGCACCTTTCCGGATTTTGTTATATAGAGCACATGGGTAAATGTTTATGTGAATGTTCTACTAACATTGCCTTTTTAAAAGGAAGGGACATTACACTAGAGTGGTGAACCAGTTTCGAACTCCTATTAGAAAAGTTGAATCGAATAATTTCCGCGTTGCATCTATAAATCTCTCACAGTTCCTCTTACATTCTCCTACTTCCTGGAAAATTTATGATAATTTTCTTTTGTTTCTGATGCCTTTCACGAAATAAAAAAAATAATAACAGACCACTCAAGTAGTACAACCATTGTTATACATATTAGCAAAGTAAATCATAAGATAATAACTATATAACTAATAACAGGTTGCATTCAATCGAATGATTTATGCAACAATCGAATAGATACTATTGTAAATGAATTAAATTTTATTACCACACTCGTGATTCAAGTCAACGTTCTTCAATTTGCATTTTGTAGTAGATAAAACATTTCAAAAATTGAATTGAGGCCGTTTTTATTCGGGTCTAAAGCGACAGACGACATCCACTATCGTAGATGGAAAGACCTCTGAAGAAACTCGACACTCATGCTAGCGAAACGTTAGGAAGCAACTGGAACACACGAAAGACTTTAGACTCGAATGAGAACAGCATCAGTTCACCTACTAGCCGCGAAACCCTTTACCAATTTGTCATTTCGAAAAGTAATCGTAACATTTTCTTGTATCATTTCTGGAATGTTTCGAATGTTTCTCTACCGATTCGCGGAACATTCTTATGGCCTATCTTGCAAACAATTGACACAGCGAGACCAAAAAACATTCTTCCATTTAGATATCACAAATTGATTTCGTATGCGTACCTCAAGAAAATGGTACAAATTTTCCAATTTTGTTTAAGAACCTTGTGGTGTGGTTATTTTTATTTCATATTAAGTATATCCAAGTGTACCTATATATGTATTTATTTCATTATCTTTTATTACAGATAAAAACTAATAATTGCAATGTTACTGCATTATTTAGTTTTAAACAGTTGCCTTTTGCTAACTGCTATGGCATCTCAAACTACTACTTCAGAACAAGACGAAGAAGAGAACGACATGACAAGGAAGGTCTTGGGATCCAGGTATTTCCTTATTTTCTAATTATTTTTGTTATTAACGCTCAAAGCACAAAATATTTAAATAGTATTACAAAATAGGTGAAATACATATAGTATCCCAAAAAGACAACGTAAATTACTGAACTAGATATTTAGTAATTTGTAATAATCGCAATAATTTTGAGATAAAATAGTTTCAGATACATTTTTAGTTACTCTACCACTAAAAACATCAAATTATAATAAATTAGGTAGAAGTATTATCTATTAAAATTTTGTATTAAAAACATTTCTCCTAGCATAGTACTGTTTATTGCCTCCACATATAAACTTGACCTACATTACTAATTATCGTACATGATGTTGAATATTTCCAGGAAGAGTTTTATTAATGCTTAAGCTGTAAGACAATTAGGTCCTGCATGAGTACGTACGTACCATAACACTTTTGCATATCCGTTTATTTTATTCACATGCACATATGTATATGCATACAGCATGGATGGGTAACAATTATAAAAAAGGGGGACCTAGATACCTATCTCCATGGGATCACATTAGATACGAACTTATAAAAAGGATACAAAGTATTATTATCTAATTTACGTTAGATCAAGAATGGGGTTCATGCGATCTGAACTTCCCCTGAAGTTAAAAACGTGATCACTATCATATTTACGTAAAAATAATTCCCTAAAAGATTTTTGATTGAGTTTACTGCAATACAGTACAACAATTTGAGATTTATTATAAATTATTCCACAAAATCTACAAATGTATTTTTTTTTACCTCCCATTGGGTAGATAAGTCTTTTAAAGGTAGAAACGGTGTTGTGTAAATAGATTCAATGATAATAAAATAATAATTAGTCGTTTGAATTACTAGGTACGTTAAACAGTACATAATTAGATAAACGGAAGGAGCAGTAGGGATGTAAAGCAGAGAATAGCACAGGGTCGAGTTGCCTTCAATAAAAAGAAGTCACTGCTATGCTCGCAAATGGTTAATTTAGAAATTCGAAAAATATTGTTAAAGGTGTATGTTTGGAGTGCGGTCTTGTACGGGTGCGAAACATGGACGGTGGGTGTTGCGGGAAAGAATAGGTTAGAAGCGTTCGAAATGTGGTGTTACCGGCGAATGATGAGGATACCGTGGATATAGAAGGTTAGAAATGAAGAGAAATTAGAAATGAAAAGGTATTAGAGAATAGAGGACTCTAATGAAGTCAATAATAAATAGGCGGGATAGATTGGTAGGGATGAAGGTCTAGTCAGAGACATATTAGAGGCAGAAACAGGAGTTAAGAAGGGTAGATGTAGACCTAGAATAGATTACTGTTCGCAAATAGTTAAGGATGTGGGATGTTCTAGTTTAAGGGAAACGCGAAGATTAAGCCCAAGATACGAAGGAGTGAAGGTGTGTCCAACCAGTATTAGGACTGATGACCTTATGACGATGACGACATAATTAAATAATTTAATGGCTACTTGTGCCTAATTTTATTCTAACGTCATTAACCCAAATGTTTTCAGTTCCGAAAGTATAATGTACGATTATGATTCAATTTGGGCGCATTTATACGAATACATTTAGCTCTTTTAAATTCCTCATTCCGGTATAAACAAATTCGTCTGTTCACCTGTTAACGGTATTGCTCTTTCAGCGTAGTAACATCGGTGTCAGTTATAATGGACACTGGCAATGGGTCAGCATTCTGGGATGCCGCGGGCAAGCCAGTCCAAAAACCGGCGTCCGCTTCTCAGCTGGCAAGTCCAATAAATTTACTTAATCCGGACCGATATGAATTCTACACTTTTAACGATAACGGCGACCTGATCAAGAGACTTATGACACTCGAGGAAATCCAAGGTATTATAGCAAGCGGGGACGGGGAGGCGACCAATTACAACACCCAACTGCTTGAAAACGTTCCCAAAAAAGACCTAAACTCAATCTTAAGCAACGTACAGAGCGTTCTTAAAAAGGAAATTGAATCCCATCAGTCCACATCCAGTGTTAAACCCGTTTATGATACTCCAGACGTTTCCTCAACCTGGAGCATGATTCTGCCAGCAATTTTTGGTAATTCGGGAGACGAAATACAACTCCAAAAACCGCAAGGCGTTGTCACACCGGAAACGATCACCATTGAAAACGCTACAGTTGTTCCTTTTGTTGCACAACTAGCAGAAATCAAAACTGACAATGATGCAGCAACAACGAACCTTCATGAAGTTGCCTCATCACCAGTAACAACCCTTCCAGAACTAAAACCAATCGAAATTCAACCCACAGAAGCAGTAACGACTGAAAATGTTGACAAAAGAGAATCAACCACTAAGGAAGAAGTAGCGACTGAAATTCTTCTTCTACCTCAGACAAAAATTACAACACAGTCCTCTTCTTCCACAACTACACCAGCTTCCATCTTGGAAGCTAAAACCACTCAAAAGGAAAATGTTGATACTCCTATTATTCAGGTGGTTATAACCGAAAAGGAACCCGAGAATGTTCCTGAAAGCTCACCAAAACCTGTACAAACGACTACGGTAATTCCCGTCAAAGAAAATGATAGCCTTCCAAGTGGTTCCAATTATGAATTTAGTACGTTACAAAACGTGAATCAACTAGAATTGAAGAAGACGTCTTCTGAATCTTCGGTACAAAATATAAGTACAACTGAAGTTCCTGTAAAGACAAAATCAACCGAAACAATTCTATTGATACTATCTACGATTAAAAAAGACCCGACGACATTAATTCCAATATCTTCGCACGAGTCCTCTTCTGAATTAACACCACCATCGCCAACAACAACAAGTAGCAAAAGAGAAACTTCAGTTGTTACTAAGTCATATTCAGAAACCTCAACAAAACCGTATCAACAAATCAACGAAGAACATTCTTCTGCTACCGAAGATATTAAAAACAATACCGATTCATCAACACCAGCTTATGAAAAATTCAACAAAGACGATGATTCGACGGTGTTCTACGAAAAGGTTCATTTGGTCGCAGTGCCTTCATCAACACCAAACAGCAACGAAAACCGGACATCAACAATTAAAGACAAATTAACCGAAACTCCCGACTATTACCAATCATCTTCATCAGAAACGCTTACACACGAGCTCATTAAACCCCAGAACGTTACTTTCACTAACAATCCGAAAGATGAAGTAACGTCTACATTAAAATATGAATCCACTCAACTTCCTGTAATCGATAGCGTAGCTACAGATTCAAATATTCGGCCCCAAGTATCTCAAGGAGGTGACGTAAATACTGGTTTTAATGACGGCAATTTAATTCAAGCTATGGACGATCTTATTTCACAAATAATGGGCTTTAATCAGACAACAATAGAATATTCATCGACTATTCCTGGGCCTATTGCAACAAATGAAGATGTTAAATTAGGAGATGAAGACTTAAGTCGAACAGAATCGTTGCTTCTTTTAAATTTGACAGAAACCAACGGTACTAAAACCAACCCAGATCCAATCGATTTACACGATTTATCAAGTCTTGTTACCACCCTGGCAAATATTAATGATCTTACTGCGGAACATAGCTCGACGTATGCTACTGAATTGAATCAGACGTTCAACGATTCATCAGAAGGAGACATTCTCACATTCAACGTGAATCCACAAGGATTACAGTTCTCAGAAACCACAAGAATTTACCAAACTACTACGGAAGATTTACGAAATTTCAGCACAACTACGATTGCTTCTACCACAGACGAAAAGGAAATGGAATCTTTAGAAACATCGGAAGACAACAGTCCATCCAAAAATGAAATAAGCATTGTACCATCTCAAACAAACAACCAAATTTTGAGACAACCTATAAGTGAAACTACTACAGAAAGGATATTTTCGACAACAGATTACATACTCACAACCTTAAACGAAGATTTTACTACTCATAACATTCATAAAATAAATTCATTAATAAGCAACGATTCTGACAAGGAATCTTCGCAAAATAAGCCTATTTACGAAACAATTGCTAAGGAAGATGACACAAGAAGTACAACAACCAAGAAACCAATTGAGCTTGTTGAAGAAAGAAAGCCCCTTTTGGATTCTAACAACTCTTCTTCAAATATCTCCAATTTTGAACCTGTTTCTCCATCTACAAATGAACTTCTTCACACCTCGCCCTCAAATAATATTCAATATCACAGCGTAACTGAAAGCAAAAATAATCTTATAACAGAAGGAAACGCCCCAAACAGTACAGATTTGTACGTCAGGATAACTGCAGCACCAGTTAATAGAATTGGCGCATCCTCTTCTACAACGACGTTGAATTATAAACCAACTGGGCAAACCACAGAAAACGTACAAACCACAACAACAGAAGCATCTTCTAGGAGACCAGTTGAAGTTAAACCTACCACCAGCATTCCTTCGGAAGCAAAACTTGAACAAAAGCCGGTTCAAATAAAGCCCATCACAACGTCTCCAGAAATATTATCTAGCAGTGAAACAAACTGGAAATTAATATCAACAATTCCCCCGCCCAAAGAAGTACCTTCAACTTCAGCTGACAAGAAAATTACCACGACAACTGCAAATTCGGTCGATTTAATTCCCGACAGTGGCCAGGGTTACGGTTTGGAAGAAACAACCGCATTCCTCGATACCGACGTCTATAGATTCACAGAATTATGCAACGAGCTATCTTTCAGCCTGTGGAGCAGAATGTACAAGTTTGTCGATTCAGCAAGGAGCATATTCCTTTCACCTTTTGCGACGACATCGATGTTAGCGATGGTGTTCCTTGGTGCCAGAGGCGCAACATCCGGAGAAATGAACGAAGTTTTAAAACTCGATGACATGGTGACCTTTAATCCTCACTCGGTATTCAAAAATGTTACGGACACAATCGAAATTTCTAAAGATTCCGGAATAGCCGCTTCCGTCATTTTACGAGAACTTTACAGCGACAAAACTAAAGGAAAACTGTTAAGCTTTTACAAAGAGAGAGTTCGACATTTCTATGATGGGCATGTCGAGGAAGTCAATTTCACCAGCATATCAGACGTTATCAGAAGAAGAACCAATCTTTTAGTGAAGCGGTACACATGGGGTAAGATTCACGATTACCTCAAAGACAATGCGATTTCGGCAAGACCACCGTTGGCTGCTGTAACAGCCAGCATTTTTCAAGTAAGTTTTTTAATTAATCGAAAATACCCTTTTCAATTTTTTCTTTCTTCTTTTTACAGACTGATTGTTCACACACGTCAACAACCGGAAGAGATGGCGAACTACACTTCGTGTTTGCTCCAACAACTCGTCAAAGAAAACTTGTCCCTATTCCTGCAGCGGTTTGGCACTCAGGATTCCTGGCAGGTTACGATCCTGGTTTAGATGCCACCGCTGTATCCTTGGGAACTACCGAAAGTACAGTCAGTACCATATTGGTCATACCCGGTCAACAAGGCATTGCTGCTCCTGGTGATGGTTTGGCAAGGCTAGAAGAACGTCTGATCAAAACCGCTTTCAGCCAGGGCTCTTGGTCGCGACTTCTCAAGTCCCTTATACCACGACCAGGTTTAGAAGTCCAAATTCCCCGTTTCGCACATCGATCAACCATCAATACAACGTCAGCATTAGAACAAATGGGCTTGAAGGAATTGTTTAACCCATCAAAAGCTGACTTGAAAGGTCTGAACGGAAATGCGCACGAAATGTACTTATCAGATCTTATTCAAGTTAATTACTTCGTTTTGTGTGGAGAAGGGAAAGTTAGTGATAGACACTACTTCGAAGAATACCCACTTAATTTGGAACACACGATCAGAAACAACAGAGGTTTGAAGTTCCAACCTGAAAATTATCCTTGGACCGATCCTAGGGAATTTCAAAGGGCTTTTGACGACTCACTTTATGATACCAGTCTCTTGAACGTTCCATTACCTTTACGACCTCGACAGGCTAGAGTTCCTGACACCCCACGATTAAGGTTCGACAGGCCCTTCTTATATTTTGTTAGACACAACCCCACAGGACTTATACTACACATGGGGAGGTTCAATCCAATACTATTTCAATGACCTTTTTTGTATAAATTGTGTGTAAATTGTGACGACGTATCATAGACGATAATTCAAAGGTTTATAGCGAAAAAAATTTGCTTGAATTTTTGAATAGGTACATACTTTGCCCCCAAATGGGCAACATTTCAAGTGGCCCCTGAACAGAGGATTTTCTTGAATACTAATGAATATAAACGGTTTAACTTACACGCTCAAATTTAGAGCCGGGCCTGTGTAATACTCATTAATATTTATCGTCGTTTTTACCTAATTTTAAACGCCTGGTATTACGATTAGAGATACAAACTAAATAATTAAAAAAAATGTTATTATTCTTAACAATGCATTCCTATAATAATTTTTAAATTGCATCCTTTAAAGTTTAATCAATATTTACTGTGAAACAGTAATTATCCTAATAAAATTATTACCTAATTATAATCATTTAACAACCAATACTGCGACTAACTTGTTAGATAATGTTACCAAAATGCTTCAAAAATCACCCACGTTCGAATACTTAGAAGCCAAAGGACATTTATAACTATCTTCCTTTCGTTTTATGTTTCAAATCAATGATAAGACGACATATCCTTTAGTTCAAAAAAGATAATTTGGATAGATTGTAGTTATTTATTTATGTATTAGGAGTAACTTAATATCTATACATAGATAGAATATTTTAGCTTGTAACTTTTGTATAACGTGATATTAAATAAAATTTCACACTTATTTTGTAACAATTACATTCTGGACGAGTAGCACAAAGCCGTTGTGATAGAGAATGTTGTTAATATACTACGTTTAAATGTAAAAATATATTTATTCTCGCAAATCTAAAAAAATTCGGTTTATGAATTGCGGGAATAATTTGAATAAATTAATTAATTACTCTTGGTCTTATTATCTCAATGATTTTTGCAATTAATTAACCTTGATTAGGATTATGTTATAGTAATATAGAAGTAAAAATTAAATTTTGGCATTTTAAACTTTAAAAAAGTAGTAGTTACCTTACAGATGAGCCTTCATTTGTTTTTCTCGAATATGATAATCGCTCTAACATCACAAATTAACAAAAGCACTTCAATTAACATTTTAAAGACTAACATTAATTATTCACCTTATTTTTCAAATTTATATGTCTCGTTCAAGAACTACCACACGCACATAAACAAATACACTAATAGGGAAATTGTTCTATTTTTGGAAGCACTTATGCAACTAATTATACACGTAAACATATGGATAGTCTACCAAAGATTATTTTCCCTTAAGTTATATAACGAAATGCATATGAATAGAATAATTTAGATACAATTATTTCTAAATAGATCTCTTTCATTACATATAAACTCCGCTGGTTTCTATCCGTGTTTCATTTTTTCCTTTTAAGTAGAACTGCCATAATTAGATACATTTTCTTTTTACTATCGAATGATATACAAGAGTTTCAAAATTAATATTTCTTCATACATACCTTAGGGATTGAATTTCAAATAATTCCCCCTTAGTGCACCTCAGATTGCTTAAGGAATATTTTCTTCAAATTTCTAAGTTTATTATTTATTTTAAGTTAAGGTTCACTAATTTAGACTGTACAGTGTATCAGCCACAGGACTTCGTAATAGGTATAGATTGATAGGAATTAATTAATTTAATTTATGAATTAATTTATCTTTTCTTGTTTGATTTGGATATATGAATTTATATCTCAAATTTATTCAGTTTATTTTTTTATAAGATTGGATTCAAGTATGAGAAAACTTGATTTTACTGTTTTTATTAATTTTAATTGAAACAATAA